GGCATGGTGTGCTAGAAGAAACTTTTCTTTTTCTTTACAAGAGGCAGCTGACAGAGTCAAGTGTTACAATGATAATCTGCACACAAGTATTAAGAAAACTTTGCTTTCCTAATCGGGCCATTTCTTAAGCAGCTTAGATTTTTCTTTATCTATGATATTCCAATAAATAGGCCACTCACTGCTTTAGCATAACAAGTGTCTTAAAGGTGCTTAGTGGATAGACAGGTGTGCCCTAGTTCAAAAGCCCTATGCAGATGCTCGAAGTGTGCGCAATGAACGCATGTAATCAAGCACTATTTCTGAAGTATGCTAAACCTATGACTAGTAATACATTTATTAAATTATTTATTTAAATACTTTTGTTCCCACTTTATAGCCCCTGAAGTCTCTCAGAGTGGCTCACAGAATATTTTCACACCATGTAAAGATATTAAATAAGAACTTAAAGTTTGTTTTAACTTAGAGCAAGAGGGGAAGGGGGGAAGATTATTTATCTAAAATTCCAATTGGGGTTGAATCATTGCTGGAGTTTGGAATTTTATTTCATTTTCAGGATCTTGAACGTGATTTTCAGTTGTTGTATTTCTCACTTACTGTATATGCACTCCTTGTCTTATCGAACAACATCATTAACTTTCTACAAATGGTTTGTTGTTGTTTTTTAATAACAGGCAGCTGCTGAAAATTCAGAATTCTCTGAAGGAGGGAACAAAGTGTTATTTTTTCTGATTCTTATCATAAAAGAATGTCTTCAAAAATTGTCCTTGAAGAGCTTTCTCCAGCATATGGAAATAATGGTAAGAACTGCACTTCTCTGCCTCACTTTCTTCTTGGCGCAAGGTTAAAAAAAAAAGTTTACGATCTGCTATACCAAGGTTTCCTTGTGGTACCCCAGAGTTCTGACAACTGTTCTTCTACCATGGCCTTGTGTTCATAAAGACATTAGGACCACATAAAGCCAAGGACAAAGGAGGCTACAGCGCCTCAAGAGAACTGTCCCATTATCCTGGAAGCTGAAGCAAATATGTGATTCCATCTCTAGAGAGGAAGTTCAGAGAAAGGAGTCAGATACAGATGAACTGTATCTGTAGGCCAGCCAGACACTTCCTGGGTAAATAAGATTTCTTAGCTTTAGGGAACTGTTGTACCCATGGCAAGAAGACAAAGGGAGGAAAGGCAGGATATATTTCCCACTGTTTCCACAACAGCAAAAAATTTCCTGCCAATTCCTAGGTTTGAAGGACAAGTTATATGATTCTACTTGATGACAACCCAGTTCTTTGAAAATTCCTATTCAGGTTCATTTCATCACATTGTTCCCAGAATTCTTAAATCCTTTTCAATGGGTCTGTTTCAGTGGCTTGTTCTTCTGGCGGACTAGCTGGACGCTGTGGGAACAGAATGCTTGGCTAATGGGCCTTTCATCTGATTCAGCAGGTCTCTTTTAATGTTATTAATCTATTGTAAATGACATACAAAAATGACTAGTGTTTAATTGAGCAGTTTATTATTATTATTCTTTTCTAAAATCTGAATTTCCTTTGGTTTGTTTCTGTAAGTACGGTTGACGAAGCCAATTTCTTCCCCTTAAAGATTACATGGCACCAGTCCTGCTTTGAGGCAGAGCCTGTAATTTGGCTGCTAGCAATATCTGAACTGTTAGAATCTGGCTGACACTCTGTACAGACCTGTATTATCACAGGAAACAGCAGTCCTGGACTGCCCATGGCCTCTCTACACACACACACAAACCTTACAACAGAATTAGAGCTCTCCTGCTAGTCTACAAAACGTACAGTTTCTTAGAAATCTTCTTCAGAGTGCTAAAAGGCTTGTCTTTTTAGGTGAAGACCAGGAACCTAGTAGGAAAAGTTGTTTTGATATTCCTAGCTGGAAATCCTTGCTGAACAACGCATTTGATAATCATACAAGGTCTCATAGCTTCCTACGCTCATGCCCATCTGTCAAGATGGCACTGTGCCGGCTTTCCAGATGGCTTCCCAATTTCAGAAGGGCAGAGGTGCTAGAAAAAGATGGGTTTCTGTAACATTGTTAACACCACCTTTTTTGCATTCCTTCCGCCCTGACAGCTTAGATAAATTGACACTGCCACAAAGTATACAGGGCATCTTTGAAAACTGCAGGAATCAGAAATGGGGGTGGAGGGGAGAAATGTCAGTGTAGATGACCTATCTCCTCGCTAGAGCCCGATCATCACTCTAAACTCCTCAAATATGACTACTGCAATGCAAAAGAGAAAAGTGGCCTAATCCCAGATGCACAGTTGCCATAAACCAAGCTAGAGTTTAGGGCTTGCATGTAGGAAACACTGGGACCATATGGGCTGTCAGAAAGTGTGATGCAAGAAATCGACCTGTAGGCAATCTATATGCAAGTGCATATCTTCCGTGTGATATTCTTAGGAGGGGATTTGGAGCAAGCCCTAATGAGGGTCGTTTCCAAGATATTGTATAACCTACGCAAGCTGTTCCCAGAACGTGTTCCCTGTTGAAACAGCTCCTGTATATTCATGCAAATTGACATGGGAGGCGTCCATTGCTTTTGGTAGTACGTCATCCGGTAAGGTAGGTCAACAACTTCAGTCCACACTTTAGTGACATAGAGGCTGTGGGAAAGAATAGAAGCAAAGACTTCAAAGAGACCAGCTGAAATGTATTAATAGAAAAAGCTACATATGAATAGACCTGGTCACATTAACTTCTCCTACGGTTGCCAATTCTGCATTTTTAAAAAATATAATCAGTGAAAAGAATCATCTTGCTAGATCAGATAAAAGTTATGTCTAGTCCATAAGTCTGTGTGATGATGTCCCAAAGTCTGGTTGTGGTTGTAATTTGAAGGGTGTGTGTGTGTGTATGTGGAAAAAGGGGAGAACTGGGTATTATGAACTGAATTACATGCCCTGATCCAGCAAATGACATCACAATCCCCTGCACACATAATTAAAGTGTATGCACATCATCACTAATCACATGTGACTAGTTACCCATTACTAGTACAGCTAAGTTGGGTCCCACTGTCAATCTCTTTTGTCACCCGGCAGCAGCCATTCTCCCTGGCTGCTGCAGCAGAAGTAGAGGTGAGAAGCAAAACCATGATATTGGCTGCGCTGAGAAACACAGCCCAGCCCCCTCAAAAAATACATTGTGGGTTACAAAACTGCCTCAGCCCCTAGGAGCTGGCACACATGGACCTGAAGATAAGGTGACAGTCCTCCCAGTTGAACAGGCTCCCAATATTCTGAAAAACTTCCTTTCACAGCCTCTCATTCTGTCTATCTGTTATTTCTCAGGCAAAGAACATCAAGCCACTAGCATGCCCAGGCAGAAACTGCATCCTCTGTTGCCACCATGTCTCCTGCCTACTCATTTTCTGCAGCTCTAAGGGAACCAGAAACAGCATTTCCCCCACAATCTTCTCAGTTTGGTCCAACCTACATAGACTCTGGCATTAAGCATCCTGACAGTTAGTTGTATCATCTTTTTTTTTTTAAACTCCACTAGTAGAATTGGCTTCTCTGATGTTGCACATGCACCTCTGGCCCTTTGAGAGAAGACTAATGCAACATCCATTTCCATTAGGCCTCCCTCTTTCTTCCTTCCTTCCTTCCTTCCTTCCTCTCAAGCACATCGTGTCCAGGTAGCCTTGACAGCAATGGGAATTATCATTGTCTGTGCATACAAGCTATTTGATTGTTTAAGTATGAGGCTTCTGAAGACTGTCATTCTCCGGTTCAATGATCCGATCCAGGTTTGTCAGGAGACAGAGAGGACTCAGAGCTCCAAGGAAGGTTTCTGGCTTACAAAAGTGCAGCGTTATTTGCTAAGAACCCCATCAAAGGCCTGGTGACCTCATTTTCTTTCTTCCACAACAAAAACAAGCCTGAAGCAAGAGAGACAGAAGGAAACCAATGGTCTTTGCTTCCTTTGTGAAGGGCAAAAGGACATCTAATGGGAGCAAATGCCTTTCAGACCTGATGCTCAGTTACATGTAATTTCCTTTAAGGAAAAAAAAATTGTGAGAAAACACAGGAGGCTTTCCCCTTGGACCATTTCACTGCCGAAAATCAAGCCTCCCAGTTGTTTCTCTTGCTGATGAGGAAATGATATGGGAATCTCTCTTTTTTTACCCATGGGGAAGCCTTTATGGGTTGAATTCAATCCTTGTCCTACTCAGAGTTAGACCCACTGAAATTCATAGACACGACAAACAAGTCTACTGTGAGTTGGAATAGCATTGCTGTGACCCTCTGTGGACAAATGGCAGGAATGGAATCCCACACTGGAATTTAACACAAGAGCATAGCTTCCTGAAGCTTATTTCCCCCTTTGGGGGGGAAATAAAACCCATGGGAAATTTACACAGAAGTGTTATTTGTCATTTCATACTTAGTAGCTCCTCTTCTACTATGTCTTGTTGACCCCAGGCTTAGAAGCAGTGAAAAATGCATGCTGAAGGAGGTTTTTCAAGCAGCTTTTCCCCTGAATGGTTTAATTTCTTCTTGAAATCTCTCTCATGCTATTTCTTAAATACCATTAATTTATATATGAGACACTCCATGTGGAATTTCACACAAAGATCTCAGAGCTATGGGTTCTGTCTATCATAATATAATTAGCAACTGCATATATATATATATCTCCTTGGTGAGTTTCCTACTTACTATTCTTTGGCTGATAAATTATTCAGCTTGTGGAACTTGGAACACCAAAGTTTTGCAAGAGAAGTGAATTTCTGTCACTTCTTCCTTAAGAGTTAAGAACCATTGAAATTGCTTTACTAAAAGTTTTCAATGAAACCTCTTTTGGTTGAAGATCAGAACCTTCCCATGATCCACTGCAGTGGGAAACTTTTAAATGCCAAATGCTCTGGAAACAGAGTTACCAGCAGGCAAAGGAGAACAGGGGTTAGGCACCTTCAACAGTTGCAGGGATGAGAAAGTGTCCCAGTAGAGCAAGCATGGCCAAACTTGGCCATCCAGCTGTTTTGGGACTACAATTCCCATCATCCCTGACCACTGGTCCTGCTAGCTAGGGATGATGGGATTTGTAATCCCAAAACAGCTGGAGGGCTGAGTTTGGCCATGCCTGCAGTAGAGGAAATGCTGATGGGGGGGTTAAGAAAAGCTTCCTCCCTTGTTGACATTTGCTGTTGCCTCAGAAGTTCAGAATAGCCTCGCAGAACCACCCAGCTAAGGTTGGTTCGGTTACAACTGAGTGTGTCCAAAGCCACCTAGTGAGGTCATTGGGTGACCCTGCTAGGAGTATGAGACTCCTGACAGCTTTGCTCACAAGGGTCATAGGAACATGCAAGCCCACTCACCACGACAAGGCGATGATCCAGCGAGTGATCACCTTGCGTCAAAGCGATGATTCTTCAACATCAACTTCATTGGACTGGTCATGTTGTGCGGATGCCTGATGATCGTCTTCCAAAGCAACTACTCTATTCCAAACTGAAAAATGGAAAGCGTAATGGTCAACAAAAGAGGTTTAAAGACTGTCTCCAGGCAAATCTAAAAAAAGTAGTATAAACACCAACAACTGGGAAAGACTGGCCTGCGACTGCTCCAACTGGAGAACAGCCTTTACCAAAGGTGTCATGGACTTTGAAGACACTCGAACTCAGGACAAAACGTGCTAAGAAGAAGGCACGCTTGGCAAACCCTCACCATGATCAACTCCTGACTGGAAACCTATGACCCCACTGTGGAAGGATGTGTGGATCCAGAACTGGCCTCCACAGTCACTTACAAACCCACTGTTAAAACCATGTTCATGAAAAACAATCTTACTCAGCTACAAGTGATCGCCAAGGAAGAAGTGAGATCAACTTTTGGGCATTATACTGCACTCAGAATACTGTACTGATAAAGCAAAGTATCCTTTTCTGTGGATACTGAGCACACCTCCTGTAGTACATATTTGACTCCTTGTCATCCACAAGTCCAAGCACGAAAGGTTCTCTTTGGGACATTCGTTGGTTGGTTTTTCTTCACGTAGCAGCTTTTCACCCTAAGTATTTTTGTACTTTTGCAATCTTGGGATTCTCCCAATCCTGTTAATATCTCCCTCTTATGCATGAATGCTGTCATTTTGTCTACCTAGGCAACAGTCATGACTGAACACCAGGAAGTATAAGGAATTATATCAAAACAGAAAACACTTTTTAAAAATGTGCTCTTTTTCATGGCAGTAGCTAATAAAATGCTCCAGAAATTCAGAACATTAAAAACATTCCATCGCATAGATGGAAGCGACAAGAGTTCTTTTCAGCTTCACTGAAGTGCCCCTTCGGGGCAAGTATTCTATGAGCAATCAGAAGTTCATCAGGATAAAAGGAGGTAAAAAAAATTAAAATCATTGCATTACAGCACACAGAGAAGCCTGGGTGACCAGCCACAATTTAATCTGTGAAGTTCTGCCAATCTGTGTATTCAAAAACAAAAACAGGAAAGGCCAATTTTGCATTTACAAAAACTGAGCTGCCTGGCACAACACAGAAGAAATAATATCTGGATCCAAGAATCTATCAAGGCATTAAATGTGCCAAGGAAATTATGGGTGTTACATATCTCAGCTAAAAGAGTAAAAGATTTTAAAAGTACATTATAAGCAGGAAACCAATAATATTTCACTAGGCTAGCAGATATATAGGCCAGTGTCGTATCTCTGGTTGTTTAGAAATGGTTGAGGGAACTGGAGGGGTGGGGTTGAGACTAATGAAAGAAATAAACAAGCTATAAAATCTGGGGGGGGGGCACCTCCTACAGGCCCTATCAGCAGAGGGAGCCCTCTTGGTAGTTCCACCACTCTCAGACATGACTCTCAGACATGCCATTCTTTGTGACAGTCCCCAAGTTCTGGGGCTTTCTTCTCACAGTGGTACATGTGACACCTTCAATATGTAGTGTCTGTTCTATGCCCTGAGACCTTATGGTGAAGGGCAGGTAAGAAACTGAAACAACAGCAACAACAACATCAGACTATGTACATCCCGGAAGTACAATAGCTGGTTTGTTAATATGACCTGTATTAGGTTCCATGACAGTCACTTCATGCACCAGGCCCTTGGAAAATGGGACAAGACTAGAATACAGGTGCTCTAACAGCGGAATCATTTGTTTGTCCTTGCAGAAATAAGCTCCACTGAGTTCAGCTGGACTTCCTCCTAGGTTTCATTCATAGGATTCAGTTCATAGGATTGCAGCCTAAAGTGACTGAATGCCAACCTAAATTTAAGTCATTTTCACTTTTAAATCTTCCTTCAATTATCAAATGTTGCTTTTACTTCTAATTTGGAGTTTCTGAACATCACGATGGATTGTGAATTCTCACCTAGCAATAAATACAACTATGTATCTAATATCAAGCACACAAATAATTGTAATGATTCTTCTCACATGCCTGTAGCTTAGCAGGTTGGGGTCACCAAAACTCTCAACTATTTGAAAAGAGCAAATCCTCACCTCACCACACTTTAAGCATGCAATATGACCACTTTAAAGTCCTAAATTTTATTCATTTGGGCTCTTAAAATAGTACTTCTCTGTAAGAGCCCTTTCTCTAGCCCCTCCTTTAATAATGTTCACTACAGAAAAACACCTATAACCTTGTCACCTCATAAAATAACACATTGATCCTGTTCTACATGTTACCTCATACCAAAATCCCTCTCCATGTGGGATGGGAGTTTGCCAATTTCCTTTGTACATTTTGAAGTAGTATAGTCACACATCAGATGACTGTACCATAATCATCTGAATCAGTTACAGTCATACCTTGGGATGAATATGCTTCAGGTTAAGCATTTTCGGCTTGCGCTCCACGGCACCCGGAAGTAACGGGTAATGCATTACTTCTGGGTTTTGCCGCTCACGCATGCGCAGACGCTCAAAATGACGTCATGCACATGCGTGGAATCAGCGAAACGTGACCCGTGCACACGCAGCTGCGTGTTACGTTTGCTTCAGGATGCAAACGGGGCTCCGGAACGGATCCCGTTCGCATCCAGAGATACCACTGTATTAGCCAAAGGCAGGCAGGAGCAGCCTAATCAAAATACCTCAAGACCTCACAATACAGTGGTACCTCTGGTTACGAACGCTTCTGGTTATGAATGCTTCGGGTTATAAACTCTGCTAACCCAGAAGTAGCTGCTCCTGGTTGCGAACTTTGCCCCAGGATGCGAACAGAAATCATGCACCAGAGGCACATGCGCAGCAGGAGGCCCCATTAACGAAAGTGTGCCTTAGGATAAGAGTGGTTTCAGCTTAAGAATGGACCTCCGGAACAAATTAAGCTCGTAACCAGAGGTACCACTGTATGTTGACATGTTGCCTGATAGCCATCACTCACTTTTAATGCTAGCTGTCAGATTGATCTCCAGATTCAATGCGAACATCTCTCTTATATTGATGCGGACAAAGAAGATAACAAATGAGTTTTAGTCTTAGAACTGCAATTGCATTTTTTATTGTGCATATTCAGTAAAAGGTTTTTGTCTACTCTCATGTGGGTTTCTTGGTTTTTTATCTTTGAGCAGAGACTGTTGAGTGTTGTGTGATTTAACATTATGCAAAGTAGTCCAGAATGGAAGGACAGAGAAGAATTTCTTAGAAAAATGCATAAAAGCAAAGCCTGCACTTAGGAGAAGTGGAGAAAATCAGGAAATCATTTCCTGGAAGCCAGGACTATATGGCTAGCCATTTTTCTTAGTACACCTCAATAGAGGCCAAATTAGGACTCCAATTATCCATTAGCTATTAATTGCCAAAGCCAATCTTTCTCCTGCTTCCTCTGAGAAGATCCTTTGAGATTTCCTGCAACTTAAAACAGGTCAACTGCTTTCATCATATAACAGGGAAGTAAAAGATGTATATACTAGTATACGGGGAAAGTTTAAAATCCATGAGAACTAGGTTTACGGCACGTTTTTATCATCATTGAAATATAGATGAGAGGAAGACTCCCTGTGTATTTGGATGTCTGCATTTATGCTTTATGTGGCATCGTTTAACCACCAGAACTTTAGACTGACCAGATGCTCACTGGAGTAAAATGAATAGGATATCAAAGGGCTCGTTGCAACCATAATATAATTATTGGCATTGGTTTGTTTTGATTATTTTAATTATTAAACATTTATTTAACAAAATTTATATACTTCTTGATTGGAGGGGGGGGGAAGACCACTAAGTGGAGTCCGTTACCCTATATACTCCTGGACCTGATTGTTACAAGAGAAAGCAGGACAGGTGGCCCATATTAAGTGTGTGAATTTGATTCTTGATACACAGGAGAAACTGTGCACCAGCCATCCTGCTGCCTAACCAACTCTTTGACTAAGATGGTGCAGGTTGCCTTGATCATCATGTTGAGGTTCCCCAGGTTTTTTGTTCCATGCCAAGATTTCAACAGGTGCTGCTCAAGTAGTTATTGGTCCACCGTGACAGTGATATCATAATCTAAGTCTAGCTGCACATATATTGCAGGTGATACAATCTTGTTCTTTTTATTGCAGAGAGGTGGTTGGTGATCAGTTAGTGATTCTGTTGTCAGAGACAGATGAGTGTCTGGTTCAGTCTAAGCTTACAGCAGCTACAAATGTGGTGGACCAGGTTAAGCTGCTCAGATCTCAACAGTTGTAGATCTAAATGATTTCCAGATAGCTTTGGGGCATTCTGTAGCTGACTTTGGTCACATGTCCTTCTCCCAGAACCCTAACTGAATAAGGAATCACTTGCACAGTTGTCATAAAAGCTCCTACTAATCCTGCCAATTGTCACTATTTAGTTCAGTTCTTCCTATGTTTTACAAGGAGGGACTGAAGGTAATGTTTTACAATGAGGGACACTAGGCATGACAACCTTTGCACAGGTAGATGAAAACTTATGGTAAATACTTCCTTATGTACTTCCTTGAAACAATGAGGTCCATAAGCACTAACCTTGTCAATGCAGTCCAGAAGGATGCAGACACTTTTGGGACACTAGATTGTCCTCAACTATGAAAAGAGTTCTCCACTGCTGCCCTTTGTTTATGGAAGGTATTGCTGCTTAATATT